TGGCCACCATTTGTGAAGTGATGTCCGAAACGATTGCATTCACAATACGCGTGAAATCCATTGTTTTTGTGTGTTTACTGTAATATTGGTATTAAACCGTTATTTACAACTAATATAATTTTATTCAGTGTGATGAAATTCATATATGTAAAACATTTCCTATGGCAATTAATTGATAAACAATAAAAATCCTGATGCTAAGCATAAATGTTTGTGTTTATAAAGGGTTTTAATTAAAATGCTAATTAGAAAATAATGTACACTCATTGGACATTTTTTTATATTCAATTTGGTTAATATAATTGCTTAAAATCAAAAGGGTCATATTACATGGACTTTGGTGAACCTGTCCCAATAGTATTCGCTGTACAATTGAGGGTAGAGGTAGTATATGTATGGTAGAAGGCATTACGGGACAGATTCACCAAAGTCCATGTTATTGATTAGCTTAAGACACTTTTCTACGTGTGTGATTAAAATGAGATTAGTCGTCATACTGGCTCAATTTGTAAAATATAATTAAACATTTAAAATATAAAAGCCTCGATTGATAACAACATGTATTGAAAACTAATTAAGCAATCAATCATATGATGCGAGGCATACGGAAAGGATAATAACTTTTATAATTTGTATTACTATTTCTAGAATTATAAAAACAAAATTAGATCAACTCATGGAAACATGTAGCTTGTTAATTGACCAGTTAAATTACATGATAATTCTGTTACAGTTTATGTTACAATTATTACTAGCACTAATTTAATAGTAACAGCATACCTGACCGCCCTGTGAGCGACCTTGCGCAAACATTCCCAACTGGATAGGTGTGAGCTAAATAAAACCTCCTGGTGATCAGTATTGTTGAAAATTCGCGCTAAAAACAATACAATATTGTATAATTATCATGATGCAATTATTTTTTCAACGTACACAATAAAATGTCAAGTCGTCCCATGAATTCTGGCCGAGAAAATGCCTGTTTAGCGACATCCGGGTCGCCGATGATTACTACTGGTTTGGGTCCGACCCATACGGTCACTGCCGGGCCGTATGTTTTGTAGAACTGTCTGAAGTGGTCATTCCAATGCACTTTCATATTACTAAACACTTTTTGTTATAATTGTTAATTAA